GACCCACCAACTCAAGTCAACGGGCGCATTGCGGGCGCAACCAGCGAATTCAATCAGAAATCGAAATCGAAATCCAAAAGCCACCGTCCACCAAGACGAAGATGAAGAAGTCAAAAATGTGTGCGGATCAGGAATCAACTTGGTATCCGCCCGTCGCGCAACCAGCAAGCGAAGACATGAGAGCAGCTTCCCATTTATCGTTGGGTAAGGCACATGATAAAAGGGTTATGCGCAAAATCCAGGAAACCCAATAAGATTGAAGAAAAGAAACTGAATAGAATGAAGGTGGAGAAAAAACGCTGCTGACGTAGCGTTGAGTAAGGAAAAATTGACAAGGATGGGGGTGAGTTGCGTCTGAACAATGCATGGACTGAATGAACAGCTTTCGGCCGATGTCTAGAGTCAGATTGTGGCATTGCGTAACCAGATGCAAAGTTCGACGACTTTAAAGTAGCAGAAGAACCTAGTGGAACCCAACGCGAAGGTCGACCATGTAGCTCAACGAGAGATAGTGTTATGTCGCCAGGACCCACCCCAACGCCAGCGTGGGTAAAAATCGTCCGCAAAATGACAAAGGACATGGAAGGGTGGGGAGACATCAATCGATGCACGGCCAAAAGGAACTCGCGTCTCCACGTTGCGGTGACTCGGTATGAAAAACAGGGGGAAAACCCAAGTGTGGATGAACAATAATGGAGGAGCCGAGTAAATGTAGTCTCATCCGCGATGAGAACGTACACAGACACTATATGCGTGGAATTTGGGCAACACAAAACAGACGACAAAGACGAAAAGATAAAAACAAACCCACTCACGTATCAGTATTAGCAGCAAACAAAGGCAACCCGAATGATGCAAACACAGGGAAGAGCAGCCTTCTAAGGTCGTCAGCTTTTGAGCGGAGGATCGGGGAGGAGGAGAGTGCGTGCGTTGAGAGGAGGCCGCCGACGTAGCGGATGACTGTTTTGAAGAAGTGGGTGTAGGAGGTCGGGGGTTAGTGAGTTGACGTCAAGGAGGCGTAAGAAGCGAGATGAAGGAAGGGAAGATGATGACGAGGGAAGGAGTGAGGAAGACGGGAAAAGAGAGTGAGAAAGTAGGAAGGAGCTACAGACGGCATGGCTCCCCACAAATCCATGGGCATCTTCGAAATCGTCGTGCAACCCCATTATGTACATTGATCAAGGGAGTCGAGAAGTGTTACGCCCCATCCGTCGAATCTATTTGTTTTGGTTGAGTGGATGGAACAGCGTGATGATAAAATCGGTGACGTACATGATGAGTGCGGTGCGTCGCCCACCATGCGAGATATGGGACGAAGAGGTACTGATTAGTTGTAACGCGCAGGTATTAATTAGCTGTAACGCGCAGTAATCAATATCAAAGTCATTCAGAAGTACATCCAGGGGACTCACGGAATGAAGTTTTCGCAACTACGCAGTCGTATAACGCTCCGTGACCCGCCATGCGCATCATGCCCTATTTATTGAATAAAATGATGTGAGATGCTGTCATCGTTGTCGAAGGTGTAGAAAGCAACTACCGAGACAGAATATACCAGCGAATCAACGTTTACAACCTCTGGAACCACCAATACGCTGCCCACATGCCCGAATTTGATTTGCTTGTCAACGTTGTCGTCCTGATCGCCGATTTTGGGTGGCAGTAGCGTCATCAGTGCCATTGATTGCAACAAGGTCGTAGAAGCCTCTCACCGGCGCCGTCGGTGCTCCGGAGACTTCGTCGAGGACGTGCTGGATGGTGAAACTGAAAGGAGCAGAATCGTTGTTTGGCATTGTGTCTGATCGGTATCTTTGTTTCTCCACCGTGATCATGAATTTATGCACATAACAAGCACATAATTCAAACATAATCACATTTTGGGACGCCAAAAATGGGGGCGGTTTGCTTTAAGAAACCAGACTAGCAGGAACTCTTTTTCAGAAGAGTGAACTGATTTTTGACAATCCAGCGACCCCGTCATTGCTGGGTGAACTTCGCTATCGCGTGTGAAGTCACTGAATGAACAGTGTCGCTGTTCAACTGCTCCGTACAAACGGGACTTCTATATCACTTACTTCAGGTTATTCGTGTCAATGATTTCCTCTTCCATGCAACTTCCATGTATGCCATATCGTTATATTTGGTGATTTTTACATTCCATCCGAAGCTGTGTACAGACTCGGATCTTCCGCACTCTCGACGCGACGATATTCGAACGCGACGTCAAGAATCCGCCACTAGCAAGGCTTGCGCCATCTCCCACCTGCACCGACAAATACACTTTCGGCGATTCGACACAAGTCGCCAATCCGCATTTTTATGCTCGTATCCGTGCCACTGAGCGCGCAAATAGAATTGAGCATTCCACCTCTGAAACGAAGACAATGCAAAGGTCAACTCGTGCTTATGAAAGAGGGTCAGTCGGGCCATGAACGACGACGACAACGAAAGGGCTCACTGCAGTGAAGCACCTCGCATCTCCCTCCTTCTCCGCCCCTCTAACCAAATACATGTGAACGGCATGTAAGCCGTGAAGGAATGTGTCAAAGGTGTGCTCCACCCCCTGGCATCCAGGTTGCTAGAGAATTGATTCTGGATTCGAAGAGGAGCCGCGTGCAGAAATAGGGAATAGCGTCCGCGCGCGTGCATAGCTGATCTTTGAGGTCCTGGTGCCAGGGACAAATGAGGTTCGAGAACATCGTTGATGACCGTCTATGG